TGTGTGCCATTCAAGTCATTTAGCTAACATTTATTTAATTACAATTAAATGTATTGCTTAACGAGGGGGTATTTTACATCTATGGGTATTGACAAGCCAGGCTGGTGTCACCAAGTGCCTTCACTCAATTTCATTTCTCTCCAGCAACTAGGTCAGGAATTGAAATACACTATATGGTTTGCAAGAACCCCGGAATTTGTAGACTGTGCACCGGCAAATCAGTGAAGAGCTGTGAAGCCATGACATCAAACTCAAGCTCCTGTCTAGGTCCCTTTTGTGGTACAGCACAACAGTAAACAAAGTGGTCGAGATGGATGTAGACGAAACCATACATGTGTTGGCAACAATTCACGAGATTGAGGATATAAAGTGGGAACAAAGAGAATGTTTGTTGAATTTTATCAAGGGGAAAGGCCCTTCTTCCTACAGGATTTGGAGCATTACATACGTCATGACCAAATAGCAGTGACTGGTGAAATAAAAAAAGTACCCACCTCCTGTCAAGAAAACAAATCCTAATGCTGTGAAGGTTTCCACGAACTGAAACCAGCTGATGAATCAGGCTGCAATTGACTGCTCATTCATTCATACATTCATTAATTTGTACATTCATACATACATACCATATTTAGGTCACCATGTTACATTTTAAAAATACTGTTCTAACATGTTTTATATGTTTTTGAGTCTCCCCTCCCTTTGCTCTCCATGCTAACTCACTCCCCCTTCACTGTGCTATCACAACACAATCAGCTAATGAAAATACCGCACATCCAGTCAGGTTTGTCAAGCTGTTGTGTGCAGTTTTGTATCATGTTTTTCTATATTGATGGAGAATTGTCAAGATGTAGTATTGGACAGAATCTTATAGCTAAGGAAGGTTCAGAAAGTGCCCGGGAGAGATTACAAAATTGCTAAAACATGCATGGATGTCATTTAAAACCTCTTCTGGCAAGCTAAAACAGATTTTTGCATAATGTCTCCTATTTAAAAACACATTCTTTGAGTGAGATCCGTGCCTCTCCACAGAGCTGACCTTTCCTGGTCCAGAAACAAGATCTCCACAGAGACAAGCAGGTGGTCGCCTTTTCCCTACAACATTTACACATTTACACAGTGCGTTTTGAAAGAAAGAACACCGTCTTCATATTATTCTTTGCTTTTTCGAGTTTTCAAAAGTTACATTTGAGCAAACACTTCTTTAACAGCCAAGTTACTTCAATTCACCACTGAGCTTTAAATAAACAACATTCACAATGAGATACTCAGGTTGAAAAATACAAATCAGCCAAGCTCAAAAAGCAAAAGAAATAGCTCAAATTTCAAAATGCAGAACACATCGCCTTCTCCCAGATATATTCACCTGAAAAATCTGAGTAATATGACATATGTTTGCACACTGGGTGGTAGTCTCCAACAACGCCGAGAAAGCGGACATTTTATCTGGTTTAATATTCACAGCGCTTTTTTAATAACGCTTCACCTGGGATCTGACCAAATACTGGCCCTGCCTTAAGCCCCATGGATATCAACCAACTCCACAGTAGACCACAGTGCCTTGCTCAAGGGCATCCCAGTGCTAATTATCTTAACAAGGGAGAAGCTAATGTTAAAATCTGCTCCTTACAGCTTTTGTGCTTGTGATCCTCGATGCCCCCTTTCTTTTTTCTAATGTGTTTTTCCTGCAGCTTTGCCTCTTGTCATCCGTTTTCCTATTTTTATTCCTTTCTTTTTCTCATTCTGTTCCTTCCTCCTCTCCATCTGCATTACGGTTTTAATAATTCCTTCAGTTGGGCTGCCATTTTGGAATTTTTCTCTCATCTAATGGCACGAGCCTTGAAGCAGTGGTTCTTGGCGGCGCTGGATTCTGACATAGTTTTGAAATTATTCCTCATATCACAATGGTGTACTGTCAAAAATATGGGTTCATACTGAGGAGACTGTTGCCTGGTTTCAAGTCCAAGAGACTATCGTAAAATGTACATGAAATTTTCTGTCCCACAAGCTGAACATGTGCATTTAAAAGATAGTATATTACACAGCATGGATTCTTGTGAGGTTTAAGCCATGTTATAATGTTGTTTCCTCCTCAAAAACATACCTGGAGTTGTGTTTTGTTTCATTCACACATGTTTGAGAAATTCTTTATTAGTCTGTTTACATCCCCAAAGCGCAAAATGCTCTGCTCCACCTTGCGTTTTCAAGTTAAGAGCTACTTTTTACTTTTTGTTCAGAGGAGATTGTCAATTCCAGAGTTGAAATTATCCTAATGATTCTTGTGAAAGTAGATAGTGGAGCTTTGTCTCTCAATAGGCGAGTTTCAGCTGACGTCATTGTTATTAAAAGCCCACGTTGCATGCTGGGAAATATTTTGGTTGGAGGCAAGAAACACGATAGCGTCAAACACAGTGCGTAACCTCGCGTATTTATCCCCGATAATGGTAAATTCCTGCTGCATTATCGGATGCACAAATAGAAGCACGGAAGAAGGAAAATGTCTTTTTCGTATTCTGAGTGAAAAGAACCGCTAACGGTGAATTAAACAGCTTTCAAACATTCGCAGAGCAAACGTAGAAGATCCTAACAAACCGTGGACTCCAACAAGTTCAACAACACATCGAGACTCTTGGAGGTTTTCATTTTTTCTCCTGTGAATGGCCCAGGAGTTTCCACCAAGTCATTGTGGATATCGCCGAAGTGAATATTTGGCCAGGTAGTTGTCGATTCTGACCAGAAATTTGGTTTGGTCCACCTTTTGTAGGGGTTGAAAAGGGTGACTTGGCGTCCGTCGATGCTAATGACCAATTTCTGGTCAAATGGTCTTGGGTCCTCTGCCGTTAGAGTGGATAAATAACCGGGATCAATACCCTTTATGTGCTTTCTTGCTCCGTCCGTCATATTGAATTAGTGTTTCTTGCCGCCAACCAAAATAATTCCCAGCATGCAACGCGCACTTTTGTCAACAATGAAACTCGCCTATTCAATTCAATCTTTATTAAGAACACGTAATATCTGGTCCATAGTATTTAAAAGAAAAATAGTAAGAATAAAAAAAGTTAAATACAGAGCATATTATAATGTATACAGACAAGCCCGTCAGTGTCTCCACAGCTTAGAGGTGAATGTGACAGAGCTACTCACAGGATACACTAGAGCTTCAATGATTCGATTGTTCAGATTCATGGCTCTACGCATAAATGAATAAATACAACATCTGATCGTGACAACACAGGGTCTCACACCACAATTTACAAACATTTCACTGGTGCTACAGAACCTCGGCACTTTCAGTAATATTCTCAAAGAGTCATTATAAGCCACTGTCAAACTCTGCAAACTCTTTTTCTTGCAGTTGTAGTCTATTACCTCATGACATAAAGAACAAAATACCTAAAAAAAATACTACCAGTGTACCATCGAAAGTGTTCTGACATACTGCTGAACATCATGGTATGGACAGATGCTGAAAAGAAGGACCTGCATCGAGCGATGAGAACAGCTCAGACGGTGGTGGGCTCCTCGCTCCCGAACCTGCCCATCACCTACACTTCACGTCTCCACTCAAGGGCCTCCAAGATTCTGCAAGACCCCACACACCCTAGGAACTGCCTTTTCCATAGTCTCCCCTCGGGAAGGCTTCAAACTCCCTTCACATGCACCGTGTTTGTGCAGTTCTGCTTCTACCCACGGGCAACGGACGTGCACCAGGAGCACAGGTACAGATAAAAGGCCTGAAGACTCAGTGCTATAATCTATTTATTTATTTAATGTTTTTTTTTTTTTTTGGTATGGATTTGAGAATGTGTCTATATGTATTTATTTTTATTGCTACAGATCTGCTCTGTCGAAGTTTTGTTGTATCTTGTACAATGATGTAACGAACGGCCTGTTCGTTACGTAATAATTACACATGCACTTTCATTCACTTTGCACTTTATATATATTTACATTGCACAGTACAGCACGAAGCACTTATAAGATACGCTAATTTGCACATATTAACATATTAAGAATTGCACACATTTGTATTGTTTTAAAAAAATATATATATTTATTGAGAACATTGTCGGGTGTCACGTGGGCCGGTCGGACGGGCACTTCCGGGTTTGGCGGCCGCCGGTCTGCGGAGATACACCGAAAGTTACAATTGGATAGTGTGCAATATATGTGCCGTGTTTTAAATGAGTTGTGTCTTGTGTGTGTTTGCGTGTGTGCCATGTGGGTATTTTAGAGTGTGAGAGTGGTATGTGCGTGCATGTTTGGTATTTGTTAGTGCTTTTACTTACCCGTGTCTTCTGTCCAGGTGTCTGGCGAAAAGATTCCCCGGGGAACCAGACACCTTTTAAGAGTTCCGGGCCAACTCATCACGGCGGACATCGGGGGGGAATAGCACTCGTTTTTAATTGGGATATTCACGTTGGGTTTTATTCAGAATTAGTTTTAGGGTTTTATTATTTTTGTATTTGGGTTTTATATAGTTTATTTGGCTATGGGTATTTTATTGGAGGATTTTAACTTAGTTTTATACAGCTAATGTTATTTTACACCCCTTGGAGTTTTAATGGTTTTATCCAGTAGTATATAAGGCGCCTAATTAGACCATTCGATGTTCTGCTGCTGGAGAGACCTGCTGCTCCATATCCTCCCTGCACTTTTTGCACCGCACTTTGTTTTCGGCACTGGCACTTTGGGAATTTTGGAAAAAGAAATTAAAAATTTTGTGGACCACGCTAAACCTGCCTCCATCATCTGTTCTCGGTTTCTCACTGCAATCCAGCCGCTCTACCCGTCCTGGTCACAAATGACAATAAATCTAAATCTCTTCTAAATATGCAGGATGTGTGTGTTAAACCTGTGAATGAAACAAAACAAAACTCCTGGTATGTTTTTGATGAAGAAACATTCTAATAGAGATAAAAAAATAATGCGATATAGACCCTTTAAACATGTTCATGAACTCACAAAACAATCACACTGTATGAGCAGTTTACATCTCTTACCTGGCTTTGCTCTGTCCATTGTAATCCAGGTTCATTCTTAATTTCAGTTGTATAAAATCAAAATCAAAATGACTTAATCCTCAGCCCAGAAAAATAACAAAATCTAACTTTTAAATGTTAAAAAGCTTCAAATATTTGCACAGTTTTTGGCTAACAAAACACTGCTCACTCCCATCAGGGTTTGAGATGAGACACCTGTGTGGCGGAAGGATACGTGCTATGTGATGAGGCTCACTACAAGTGCAGTGCAGAGAAGTGAAAAAGTAGTGCACTGCTTGAAATGAAATGGTCATATGAATTTGTGCATTGTTGTTGGTTTTGCCTGTTGTGATGATACTTCTAAGTTGCCTTTTTATCGTAGAAGGATACAGTAGCATAACCCAGGGCCAGGATGTACACATGAGTCACAGTGCACTGCTTTCTCTGCTCTCTACTCCCTACACTGCAGTTAGGGACAAATATAGAACAGAAATCAGAATCACGTGGAGCAACATTCTTAGGAAAAAGTTAATGAATAAACAGCAAATATATTATTGAAAACCACTCAGAAAAATAAATAAATAAGAATGTAAATAAATATTTAAAATAAAAAGTTAAAGTGATTTGTACTGTCTGAAAGATGTGATAAACAGAGTGTCCAAATCATTCACTTGTTGCGTTTATAAGCATTTTTCACAACCAGGCTGGAGTAAAACCATCTATGTGCTATCTGCATCTAATTGGATGCAGATAGCACATAGTGGACATATTTTGACCTAAAGAGCTGCTCATACAATAGGCTCTATTCACGCTTAAGTTACAAACCAGGAAGGTGTTTGGAAAGATGTGATTACAGCTTCACTTCTAGTGTAGTTACTGACTCTAGGCTCCTTTATGACTGTGATAAAACATAAAATAACTATAACTAAAATAAGACTGCATACGTATGTGCTGTTTGGAATCATTTCATTCCTAATCTGGCGCCCTTGTCTCTTCTAATCGCATGTACCTAGTGTGCTCGGAGTTGTGCGTCAGGAGGGAAATGATAAAAACTGAGGTGTGGTTGTAACTGTTGATTAGCCAATGACACGCTACAATGACATGCAGATGAAGAAAACTGGCACATTTTCTCATTTTATCTAGCATTTGTCAGACTAAACCTGCATTCAATTATCTTCCGACTCCCACTTGGACCTCGGATTTGAAGTCACATCGGACGTGGAAAGTAGCGTGTAGCCTCACCACAGCACCGATTACCATACCCATCGGCAGTGATACAGGCACAATAAGGTGTTGCAGTAATACAAGTGACTGAAATTGTCATTAAACCACCAGTGTGGCCGAAAACAATGAAAACAGTTCATATTTACATGTCACAGTGGGCACAACCATCTTGGACAACTCAGAATCCTTGCTTGGTCTACTTTTTCCACCACCGAGGTGTGAGTCGCACCATCCCAGGAAAAGGCCAACAGAGCCTGCTAAACTAGGGTGACCAAACGTCCGTTTTTTCCCAGACATGTCAGTTTTTTTGCGTCCTGTCCTGTGCATCCAGGTTTTGTTTTTGTTTTTTTTTCAGAAAGTGATACAAATGTCCAGGTTTTCATGATCTTTCATTGGGCCATTAAATTGAGCGGCTCTCGTAGCTCTCTGTGCACTCAGAAGGAGCAAGCAGACACAGTCGGTCAGCCTGCAACATGCCGAAGCACAAATGTGCATTTAACGATGACTTGGACATAAAATTCCCCGTTTACCGTCCCGGTCGAGACAAGGGGGAGGCCATGTGCACAATTTGCGAGGTGAGTGTAGCTCAATGTCGAGGCCCCACCCCCCCGTACCCGGTGAGGTGTCCGGGTTTTCACAAATGGGAATATGGTCACTCTACGCTAAACGTCTTCCTGGATAGAGCCGATATATCTGCACTGGGACAAGACAACATTTGTTCAAATACTTCAGGCACAGGACCTTAAACAAAAAGGAAAAGTTCATTGTTGGAACTTGCGCTCAATGTATTTATTTACTTCTCTTTATTTACTTACCCTGATGAAATGTACACAATATATGATGTCTTTTTTTGTTTCATTTTCCCACACACAAGATTGCCACGTCTCATTCCATCACATCTCTGCTGTCGTGTTTTATTCTGTTTGTGTTTACGACTATATATATCTGACCATTTACATCTGCTTTTGTTCTTGTCATGCCGTCCCTCCCACTCCCACTCCTTAAGCCGGCCTCGTCCTCCCCGGCGCCGCACACACGCAATCACCCAATAACAGGTATGACAAACATGCACTCTTCATATATCTCACCATAAAGGGGCAGCCATGTGAGTGGAGAGGAGCGTGGGGGGCGTCCACGCTCATTTACATCGCCGTTCTTGGATCAGTCTCGGAGCCGTGAAGCATGAGTGTTTCAGAAAGTGTTGTTTACAGTGTTGCCAGGAGACACAACCTTGGACCACTTCTTCTATGTTTATTTGATGCGTATCCCGACCCAGGGCAAGGCTTCACACACACTTAAGTACATGTCGCATATGTAATGTCTATATTTCATGAAGACGCACATAGCAGTTTGAAGTTTATGTACAGAAGCAGTTGGAGTTTCAAATATAAATCAAATGTACAGTCATTGATGTTCACTCAGCAGTCTAGATTACAAAGATATGGTATGGACCTTTATGGTTGCACTTCTGGTTAAGTGGCAATCCCATTAATTTCAGAGGAGAATTCGAGAAAGGTTTGCCACTATAATAAGATATAGTATAGCAAATGTTCAGTGTTCATTTGCAAGACAAGTAAACACTGCACTGATTCTCTAGGAGGCTTTAAAACAGCTCTGTGGTCTGTATAGAATTTATTTGCTGTGAAGATCGGCAGCCCCATGTAAAATAATATAAGCCGAATGACAATGATGGTACCCACGGCAATGTACATACTGAGGTGAAAACATTTTACTTATTTATTTTTGTTGTTTACTCTTTTATGTTTGATGTTGCAGATGTGCCATTTAGTAATTATATTCATAGATTATACAGGATTTAAAGGGGAAATGTGGATAAATTAATTGTATATTTAAAAAAAAAAGATACACAGTGCATTTAAAGGTACAGTGTGTAACTTTCTGGAGGTGGCATATCACCTGCAGGATTCAGTGGAAATCGAAATGTTTTTTTCCATACTGCTGAATATTATAGCCAAAGGAACGACATCGCCATGGAAACAAGCAAACTCGCACAGAGGAAGTACAGACTTTAAAAAATAAAATAAAATAAATAAATAAAATTAAAATACTGTGACTTTATTACCCTCCAATAGTCCTAACCCTAAATATCAAGTATACACTTATTCAAACAAGCAGTTATTTCTCAAAACAGACTTTTAAACATGTTTTTGTTGTTTCCCTTCACCATTTACTCACCCAGAGTTGAATTTGGAGTGCTAGTACATGTTTGAGCAATCTTTAATTGCTTTTTTCAAGATGCAGTATTGCAAATGTATTTTCTTAATCAGTGATACATGTAGGATTCTGTTGCTTTGAATAGCCATTTTGGTGCTAATGAAAAAAACAAAACAAAACTGCTTTTGCTATTGTGCTATTGCTATTGTGTGCATCTATCCATCGGAGGTGCAGACAGCTTCCTTTTTGTCGTGATGAAGTTTATGGTGATATCAGCTCCCATTGGGGACCAACGTGGAAGTCAGTGGACTTGTTGTTATTTTAGACTAATATTGCAATTTAAAATATATAGCCAGACAGACACAAGGACAGTATGTTTTCTTTCATATCTATGTATTTTGAACATAATGCATTTATTTTTGCAGTTTCCTGTCTGGTCAGATACATCATGTTCAGCCAATAAGTGTGAGATCAGCGTATGATCTCCATATTCATATATCCTCATGACGCATTCACTAACCTCCAGCTCCCTGTTATTTCAGTGCAGCGCTCCCTCGTTCACTTCCATGTTCTGGGCTTCACGTCGCCATCTGAAGTCATCCGGGGCCATCATTGAGCACAGTGCGTCATGACTTGGCACGTCTTTACAAACCAGGACAGATACACACAGAAATAGCCGCACTGAGAGAACACATGGCACTGTCAGTATATGTCACACTTATGAGACAGATCCCAAAGTTTTACACAAAAAGACTGTAAGCTCATATACACTACCAGTCAAAACTTTGGACTCATCCTCTCATTCATTGTTTTCTTTTTCTTTTTAGTGTTCACTACTTTCTGCATTTGATATACATACAGGAGACATCAAATACCACATATATGAATTAACATGTATGGAATTATGTAGCATGTATGGAATTTTTCTTTTTGTTACATATACAGAAGACATCAAATATGTGAAGCAAGTTACATTGAATTATCTAGTGAAGAAAAAAAATAACAACACACTTTTTTTTTTTTTTGGACAAAAGGGTGTAAAGTACAGAAGCTGAGAGATGTCACAACAAACACAAACGCCGCAACAAATACAAATGCGACAACACAAAAAAAAGCCACAACACACCAAAAAAAGCCACAACGGAAGTGACCGCGGGACTCTATTTTCTGACGGACCAATCAAGCGGCAAGTGAAGAAGAAGAACTACAACATGAAAAGTAAAGGAACGGAGAAGCTGAAAACATAAGTAAAAGTAATTTATTGTTTTATCATTATTCGTTTCACGTTGTAGCTCTTCTTCACTTGCCGCTTGATCGGTCCGTGGGAAAATAGAGTCCCGCGGTCACTTCCGTTGTGACTTTTTGATGTCTTGTGGCTTTTAATGTATTGTGGCTTTTTCATGTGTTGTGTCTTTTTCATGTGTTGCGGCATTTGCGTTTGTGTTGTGGCGTTTGTATTTGTTGCGCCGTTTGCATTAAAATAGAGTCCCGCGGTCATTTCCGTTGTGGCTTTTTTTCATTTGTTGTGGCTTTTTGTTGTGTTGTTGCATTTGTATTTGTTGTGGTGTTTGCGTTTGTTGTGATCCCTCTCGGCTTCCGTAGTAAAGGGTATATAATTTGAGGATTTGGTTATGCAATGTATAAAAAACATATATATTATTAATTAATCATTGCATTTATATAGCGCCTTTTAAGATACCCAGAATGCCTTTACAGTTCATTGTTCATTCACTCCACACTTGGTGGTGATAAGCTACTATTGTAGCC